CTCTCCAAGGGCCTGTCCAGAAATCCTTCTTTCCAGCTCCTCAGTCAGTGTAGTCCTATTAGCCGAGGAGGCATTCCTCTGCACGCCGTCATAGAACGTCAACCATCTCACTCGCTTCTGGTTCTGCTTTTGCTGAACGCCGCTGAGGGTCAGAAGACATTTCTGGGCAGATCCTTAGAGTGACACCACCTCCTTTTCCATCATAAATATGAAATTACACCTCCACCTTCGGTTGGCTCCCCATGTGTCTGCCTCCATCTAACTGACAGTAGCTGACTTTAAAAAATAATCGGGGGGGGGCTGAACTCATGTGGACGCGCCACAGTCCCCGCATTCCTGGGGGAGGAATCAAACCGGGGGTGGACAGACTGCTAAAAAATATCTCTGGTCAAACATAAATGGGGAGGGGAGGGGTGGCGGGGGGGGCAGGGCAAAAATAAGAAAACAGACGAGTGGCCGCCATGGTTGACCCACCATTAACGTGGTCCCTGTAAACCTGGGGCTTACCAGGCAAACACACACAAATAAACACGGAGGCAAGCTGATGCTGATGCTGGGATTGAAAAGTCCACCTCACCGAGGCTTGCTCAAACTCCGGCCAATGCGAACCTTATGGCCTACCCCCCCCCCCCCCCTTCCATAAATCTTCACCCTCTCTGCACCGCCTCCCTCCTGCTACCTTCCACTGACTTCAGGACATCGGCGAAGATATGTGTGACGTACGTGGACTCGGGACTTCAGAGAAGCGAGAGAGAATCTACAGTCTCGACTCAGCGTTCCCTATTTTTAATCTTTTGTTTAGTTTTTGATTTTCTTCGGCGAAGTGGGCAGACGTGGGGGGGGGGGTTACCTGGCTCTTGTTTTGTTTAGTTTTTCCAGGTTTACAAGGCATGGTGCAGATGACGATGATTATTCTTATTATTATTCTAATTATCAATATATTAATTATTGTTACTTGCATTCACAGTATATTTGTTGAGCGCCAGCGAGAGCAAGTTCCTCCAACTTATTATAATAAAGGTCCCGATTCTACCGATTACCAGTGACGAGCGTGTGTACATGTTAACGTTTAAATATGAATTTAACAAAATAAAATTATATCAATAGAGCGACATATTTAGTTATAGAAATCACAGAAAAAAAACAAAACAGTCCTTTAATGCTTTGTACTGACACCAGTGACCCCTGAAGTGTTCTGGTTGTTCCCAGTTTGTAATATTTTCCTCTTTGGTTGAATCCAGGGTTCCTACACAGGTGAAAGTTGACACAAATTCCAGGCCTGGAAAATTCTGGAAAAAAACAGGTTTTTAGTTCTAAGAACTTGGCTGCAGATTTTACATGTTGTCCATGAAGTCACTACAGCCGAGCTGAGAGCGTCTTCAGACACTTCTGCTGGATTTTCTATGATGACTGCGCTGTGTAGGAGCCCTGCTTTGACCTCTGACTGCATTTTATCTGTTACCCTCCCTCCCTCCTTGGTAAACCCTCAGCCACACAAAAGATTTGTCCCAAACATTGTTAATATTTATTTTTGTATCTCTCTATGCTAATCTTTAACCCCCAACAAACTCAGGAGCCAAAATACCCTCTTGTTCATCATTCTTGGTTTAGAAGCAGCTGATTGGCCCCTGTGCCTCTATTGAATGCTGACTCGACTTTTGTTCATTTAAATCAGATGAGAAAAACTGAGCTGGTGTGAAATCGGCCTCTGAGGTAGCTCAGCCATTTAAGCCATTTAAAGTCAAACTTAAATTTCCTGTCTCCTAAAAGAACAAGACAAAAAAACAAAACAAAAAACTGTGTTTTTGTTTTTTTTCCTTGAGTACGTCATAAAGTCAAGACCCCGCCCTTAAAAAAAATAAAAAATAAATAAAAGAAGAAGAAAAAAGTAAATCCTTCGATTTAAATGTGGCTGACCTCTACTTCAGGGACTTCTTCCCGTGCACCTTTCGACTGCGTTCAGTGTTGCCGCTTCTGTTACATCACTCTGTTGTGCTCTGCATTGTTGATCCCAGATCCCAAACGTCCGGTTCCATCATTCTGACCCCACTTTTATGCTGAAGACCACTGATAATGAGAGCCAAGTCTCTCAGGTTACAGCTCGTGAGAACAAACGGCAGTTTTCAGTGCAGGAGTCCACAGGGTCCACGCACAAAGCCGTGCACGTCACCAGCGTGTTCGTGATCACACTGAATGGATGAACAATGTAAATTGATCCCTCGGAGTGAGACTGTAATGCCTGAGGCAGAACATTTGTATAATTGAAGTGAAATTGTGTGGCATGTGTGCCATCATTCAGCAGCTGGTCGTAGAGTAAATTAGTCAGATTTGATGCCCTGCAACTTCTTACATGTATCAGAAGTGTCAGAACGGGACTTCCAACTGATCTGTGTTTCAGGTAACCCTGCAAATGATCCACAGGTGCACAACATAATGACCTTGGATCAGCTACATTTACATCAGTGATGGTTTTTGTTTTTTATGGCAGAGCCTCAGAACTTATATATATTTATATATATGCATTAATCTGTATCTTTACCTGAAGATGACCTTATTCATGACCATCTCCAGTCCTCATCCTGTGTTAACTTGGCTCCAACTGTCTTTAATCAAACCAGTACCGTCATCAGTGGGTGCCAAAACCTCACCCCTCTCTTTGTATTAATGGAGAGGCTGTTAGTTCAGCTTAAACCATAGAAACAGTAAATACTTTTTACTTGGATAGCAGAAATCTAAATTCTTTTATTTTTCCTAATGATTACCACCAAATTGCCCCCAGAGCTTTTTTTTTTTTGTACTCAGCAAAATGCTACCAGGGAGTAAATCTATCCAGTTTTTATTTCTGAACTTCCTGAAAATGCATACAGGTGTTCATTTTTACCCATCGCCCCTCAGAGGAGAGCTTTTGTGACCTTGCGGGTTTGTTTTATTAACAGAATAGGGTTTTTTGTTTGTTTTTGGCCTCTTAGTCTGTAAAGATGTAAAAAGAAAAAAGACTTTAAGAAGAAAAAAATCCAGAATTGTCACCTGCACTGTGGCTTCCACGTTAAACCAAAATGTATCGCAGCTGTGTTTTTTTTAGGCCTGTGTTCATGCTCGCCACTCGCAGAGAAACAGGAAGGCCGAGGCTTTCGCTTGACACAACATCCATCTTTTCCTCTAGCCCCTGGCCCTCACATCCACCCAGGAATCCAGAGTTGGTATTTTTCCTCACGGTGGAACCAAGCTTTCTGTACTTTGGTTTGTTTTTCTTTGTTTTCTTTTTTTTGTTTGTTTGTTTCTTTGGATCGCAAGCAGTCACGGCATCGTTTAGAAAACTTCTTAGACAAAGTGTCTGTTGTCTCTTTCTGAGTAAGGTCTGAAACCTATGCATGCCATAGTAAAGTGGTGGTAAGATCAAGTTAGATGTCTCTTATTTTATTCTTTTTGTTTCTCCTTCTTTTAGCCAGTTCACGGTGTATAAGGAAGATGTCAACCAGTAAGTTGTCCACTGCTGACTGTGTGTCCATTTGGAGAAAAAAAAATGTGCAATTTGTGTGAGGGTGAAAAGATTTATATTAAAAATGACAAATGATGATAGCACGTGTGTGGATGCTGCATGACACCTGAAGCAGAAGTTTAAATCGAGTTTAGTTTAATTCAAAATGACATGTTCAAAGATTCTTCTTTAACTCTGGGGTTTCTTGCACTTTTACAATAACTGAAACAAAATTCTGTGAATGAAGCCCAATGACCAGCCTATACCATATTAGTAGAACTGGCGACTGCGGGAAGGAAGAACCACCTTTGATCAGACTTGGGGAGGGCCAGCTATCTACCAGCCCACTGGTAGGGGAGGTGAGGAGGAAATTGAAGGCATAGAGAGGAAAAAACATATTTAAGAGGGAGAGAAGATAAAGGCATAGTGAATACAGGTGAGTGGAGACTGCTCAGTGCATCATGAAAAGTCCCCCAGCAGCATGGAAGGTGCAGGGTTGCCTGACACTTTGAAGGCTAATCTTAAAATAGGGCTTTGCTCTCCCAAACTGGGAGCTGGTTCTACAGGAACAAGATACTTCATCTCATTCTACCTTTAAAAACCACAAGTCAGCCTTCAGTCTGAGAGCAAAGTGCTCTGACAGGATGTGATACTACGAGAGCTTTAATGACAGATCCCAACTTTTCAAGCCTTTGTATCTGAGAAGGATTCAGTGTTTTGGACTGAAAATAGTAAAAAATATAACAAAAGCTGTGTATGTACATATTTCATGATAAACTACCCATAAACGTGCATAGTCACAGTAAAATGTCCACAGATTGGCACTATAGTTCAACTTTTATTTTTGTCTTCTAAATATTGTCATTTCATTTTTCAACTCAAGAGAAAATAGCACTCAAATAATCCTATGTCTGAAGTAAGTTTAATTACCAAAGACGCTGTGCTGATACTCAACCACGTCATCGTTTGCATTTTTGTTTTTGAATGCAAACGAACACCTGATGAAAGCATCAGGGTTTTTATCTCAAAAATATGAAATAGAAAACAATCAGCATTTATTCATACAGAATTTTTACAGAAAAAAGAGCAAACATCTGATTTTTGGCCTTTCAGGTTTGAAAACACCTTTAACACAAGTGACTGCAGAAAAACACGAAACACAAGAACTTCACATTAAAGCCTTACAAACTTCGAGACGCAGTAATAAAACCTTTGCTTCTTGGTAAAGCCGTGATGAAGAACCTGTTGAAGGACTTTAGTTTGGTAGGATCTCAGTCTTTTGAGTCTCTGTGACAAGTTCAGAGTCTGTATACTGTCCCATCCTGAAGCTTCAACAGTGCTGCCACCCCCTCCTCAGTGATGCTGACTGTTTTGAGTCCTTTTAAACAGCGGTGGGGAGAAGTGTGCTCACAGGCTGCTTGCTTACGTCCCATCAACAGGAGGGAAGCTGCTGTTTGTGGAGCCACCTCTTCTTCAGCTTCTCTGCTTTGGCTTTCTCCTTAGAGGCTGAAAGATCAGACCAATAACAGTTTGTTTGTTTTTTTAAATGTGACTTATGTCCCCACAGCTTTCCAACTCAAACACCTTTTAGAAAGGACATTGAGAGTAAATATGCCAGTCTGAAGACTGAAAATTGGGAGTGTCGTCGCGGTCTCTGCAACAGGACGCCCGGGAGAGCGAGCGCCTCTCAGTGAGACGGGACGTCATTGTAGCAAAGCTCAAATTGAGACAGATCATCGTCTTTACAGACTACTGCCACAGAGTGTAGCTTGCAGGTGTTCATTTTAAATCAATAACACAAAGTATTAAGACTAAAGAACAAAAAACATGGCGGTAAAATCTCTCCTGAAAAGCCTCAGGGGCAGAAAACCTGGTGAGTGGTGACGACAACAACATTAATAAATATAATGGCATAAATCTGTGTGGCAATAACCGCAAAATTCTGTAAAAGATTTAAAGAGATCAAACCAATGACAGTTAAACAATGTGCAGGTGTGCACAATCCAGGTGTGCAAAGCCTGCAGAGACTCGACCATATCTTTACTCGTCTCACACAAAGACTTCTATAACAAACAGGTTTTACCGTAACTTCTCGATGAACCCATCTGTAACTGTGACCTCAAACTTTTCATGCCTTTGACCCCATTTTACAGATAAAGCTGAAATCACTGTGTACTTGGCTGTAATTGGGGTGACCAAAGATCTAAATTAAAGTATTACCACTTTGCGGCCATCTCTGCAACACCTTATTCCCTGGTCATTTATTCTCTAGAAATTATACTTCTATCTACATGCAGTTTCATAGTAGAAAGCAAAAAAACCATCCTTTACTACGATAAGTAAACCTGCCCGCCTCCACCACACAGCTGAGGCTACCGTAAACCTCACCTGTACATGTCCAGCATCAACATCACTGGCTCATGTTTCCACCATCTTTAGAGCTTCAGACTTTTCTGGGATTTGTATTCAGGCCCCACCATCTCTTTTATAACAAACTGTGCAGAAAGTAATCAGTTAAAAAAAATAAAGTCTTCTTTTTTTCCTTTTTAAGCTTCTTATCTTTGGACGACACATTGCACCAACTGGACTGTAAAAGCTGAAGTAAACTTCCTCTGGTCATCAATCTCAGGCTTGTTCTGAACGTACCCCAGTCTTTCTTGACAAACTGCACTGCCGCACTTTTATTCCACCCCTTCTTGTTCTGGAGGGACAGCATCTCATTATCTGAAAGCAGAAGGACATTAAGATTAAAAACACTGAGCAGAACGCCGGTCTGAAAGTCTGAAGACTGAAAGCTGTGAATGTTGTCGCGGTCTCTGCAGCAGGACGCCCGGGATAGGGAGCGCCTCTCAGTGAGAGTGGACGTCATTGTAGCAAAGCTCAAATTGAGACAGATCATCGTCTTTACAGACTACTGCCACAGAGTGTAGCTTGCAGGTGTTTGCTTCATTTTACATCAACACAGAAGCTGTGTTCACTCAGTATTAAGACCAAAGAACAACAAACAAGGTGATAAAATCTCTGCAGAAATGCATCTCCCTGTATCATGGAGTGGAAAACCTGACAAAAAATTAAGTATGGTGACGCCACCAGCTTACTTGTGGTCCTGCAGGTTCCTGGTCCGTACAGTCTGGACCGGATGAACTCCTCGGCCACCTGCTGTTGGAAGGACGCCAGCGTTCGCTCCTTCACCGTCGTCACTGTGTACTTCCCCTTCAGACTGACAAACAACACGAGTACAATAAAAGGACGGAAAGAAGAATGCGTGTTTGATCAGCTTCACTTTAGTGAATAATGATCGTCTCACATATATCAGGATCAGTTTGAGACTTCTTCAGTAGCACCAGCATGCACTTTCATTGGATCCAAAAGGCTGAGAATTAAAAACAAGTCTCTGCACACAGAGTCCAACTAATATCCTAAATTTAAAGTGTCCAATGAGGTGAGAACAATGAAAGTATCACATTTCTGTATCATTATTTTATTGAGAGGTTTTCAGCATCTTCACTTCCTCTCTGAAATGTCACTGAGTGGATTCTGATCAGTGGGTCCAGCAGTCAGTGAAGTGCTTGGTAACAACAGATTTTGCCTAATCGTGGTGGGTGAGGAGCTGCAAACTGGCTTTCATCAGTGGATCAAAGTTTGTCTACCAATATTTTATCTGCAGAGATGTTCCCAAAACAATCAGTGGGTCTCTCCTGCTAATGAACTCCAGCTCCACCATCATGAACCATCGCTGGAGGAGAAACTCACGAGGACAGGCTGGAGCAAAGTCTTCATTAAATTAGACTGAAGAATATTAGTTTGAGACACTTCCTGTCTTCAAATACATCATTTTCTCTTGTTTCTATTGGTGCCTGGTAATGTGTAACAACAACAAGGTATTTGCTGACCACACTAAATAATAAAGAATCTGGCAAGTCCACCCAAGTAAAGCGTCTCTCTTAAACTCTGAAATAAAATGGTTTAAAAACATTGACATACTTCCGGGCATTTGCCAATTTCCCACTCCTTTTCTTTTTCTTCTTCTTCTTTCCATCTCCCTCCTCTTTTTCTGGCTTTTCCTCCTGTTCACCTGGGTGAGGACAGGTTGATTTAGCTGAAGTCACAGATCTGAAGTTCAATCTGCTGCTCTACAAATCAGTGCCCAGTCCTTCCACAGCATCAGCCAAATGGTTAAAGATGTATTAAGAAAGCTTCTTTACCTTCATCTTCAGACAGTTTCTGCTTCCTGGAGAAAATAAAAACAAACAAATGTTGTGAGCACTGAGTGAGTTGATGGAGACGATGTGTTAAATCCAAGAATTAGACGGGTAAACTTACTTTGAGGAAGCCGAGTCGATTTGCTCCAACACGTCAGCCGATAAGAGTTTTCTTTTCTGTGGAGAAAACAGTCTGTGAAACTGCAGGTTCACACATCTTTTAGTTTTTCTATGGCATTAGGTCACACTGAAAGGCAAAAAGAGAGAACTGTTTTTTGTCACTTTGCAGTTTGAGCTAAAGTGAAAAATGTCAAGAATGGGACTGGAACAAAACATTGACATCCTCCTCCAGAATCAATCAAACCAGGCGTGCTACTTCCTGCCTCTTTACTGTAAAGCTAAGCAAAGTTAACCACCCTGCAGTGAAGAAGACTCACTCACAGGCAGAGGGATTAAAAACAATAATGAAGAAAAATAAATAAAACTCTCCTTCCCATCATTTCCTTAATGTTGCTTTAATACACCTCAAACAGCACAGCGGTGTCTCCTTCTGAAATGAACACCCTCTGAACTCTTTTCAGATAGAAGTAAAATAAAAGAAAGCACTGATGTGTGATTGGGTTGAGCCTGGATCCTGAACTATGAAGCAACGTCAGCATACTCAGGCTCTCCTGATCTGGCTTCACTTAAACTAAAATCACTAGTCAGACTGTAATGGGAGTTAAACAGGTTCTGCACTTTCTGAATCTGTTAGTCCGCTTGTGTTAGCGTGATGTAAATTTCATCTTTAGACTTTAAAAAAATACTTTAGCTCATATTAGTGTCAATGCAGTGAGCTCTGAGGATTGGTGACACCATTTTCTAGGCGATCCATTGTTCAGCAGGCAGTAGTTTTGAACTTGTCCATATGTTTTCTCAGGAGCAGGTTATGACTTCATGAGAAGTTACCATGGTTATGCACCCTGGTAAGAAGGTAAATGCATTTGTAAAACTTAAAACTCAGGATTAGACAGGGTCCAGGCCTCTGAAAGTATTTGAAACCATTTAAAATGACACACACTGACCTTCTGTTCTTGGAAGAGCTCCTGTCTCTTCCTCCTCCTCTCTTTTAGCAGCTGCTTTTCCCTGCAAACAGAGGAGCATTTCATCAGGTTTATGGATAACAATGACACAAACACACAACTGTACAGCTTCTGCTGATAATGTAATAACACTTATGGGGAATTTTTTCTGGTGGCGATCAAGCGTAAGCCATTCTCAGGGGGACTGCTAATATTCTGGTCCCTCATGTATGAAAATACTGCAAAAACTGGCAAACGCCTCAGGATAATTTACTGATCCGTTTGTGGCCCTGCTGAGGTCACCCTTAAATCTGACTAGACGTGAAGTTTATGACAGAACTGTTACAGATGTGCCTAATAAAAAGGCCTCTGAGTGTGCAGTCCATATCGGGTTTATTTTTTGACGCTTGAAAAGTTTCTCTTTTAGATATTAGCCCAGGGGTGCCCAATCCCGGTCCTCGAGAGCTACCGTCCTGCAGCTTTTAGATGCATCCTTGTTCCCACACACCCGAATCAAATGAATGGCTTGTTATCAGGCCTTTGCCAAACATGATGGCATGCTGAAGAGGTAATCAAACCATTTGATTTAGCTGTGTTGGAGTAGGGATGCATCTAAAAGCTGCAGGATAGTAGCTCTCGAGGACTGGGATTGGGCAGCCCTGCATTAGCCCAACTAAACTTCGTCAAACAATCCAAAGATCCAGACCAATTTGATGACACAGAGCTGTGCGTCTGAGAGTACACAACAGCTAAAAAATACACACTTTGTGAACATGAATTTTGTTAAATTTCGTGCTGCCGATTTGATATACGCCTAGGTAAAAATTACGTAATGTATCTGTAGTGTTCACTGGAATAGAGACATCTGAATGCAAAGTTTTTTGAATGGAGTTTGGCCCAACCGTCCCAGCACAGGTTAGCTAGCGGTTAGCTACCTTCTAGCGGTATCCAGCGCCTGTTTCATGCTCCGCAGAGCCTCAGCTTTGGAGTCTTCAAAGGTCACCTCCTCTGGAGCTTCATCGTCGCTAGACTCCAGCGACAAGGTGAAACTCTCTGCGGGCTTTTCGATGTCCACCGTCTTTGACGACGAGCTGGCTTTCCCACGTTGTTTCTTCGCCATGTTGTCCAGCGTTGTGACACGTCATCAGGCCACGCCGCACACAACGTGACGCAAAAAGAATGTACCCGACTGATCGACCAACCAATGACTGCAGCCCAACAAACAAACCGTTTTAGATAGATCTAAATGAGCGAATGATAGGATTATCTAATTCTAGCAAGTTTTCCCATTTTATATTTGTATTAATTTAATATTTATTTAATAAGTTGTTTGTTGTTTTTGCAGAATATATTTCACCATCCATACAATTATGCCAACATTTCAATATCTCGAAATGTCTAGTTAGTTACTTCTGAGTAAGTCAAACTTTTGAGATAGAATATCATCTATATTACAGTTAACGTTTAACAATTTAGATGTTTGTAACTGTAAAGTTTGTTGTAGGTAGTATTTTCCAACAGATTTTTATTCATTTATTTTAAATTTAAGGCCAGTCTCTCAAAATTGTGACTTTTTAACTTAAATTGTCGACTTAAGAATCTTGAAATCAACTTATTCAGAAGTTTCAGTCACTAAAATTTTCAGATAATAAGTCGAAATTTCTATTTAAATCTGAATTTTATTTTATTTTATTTTTTTGTTTCAGTGGCGGAAACAAGTGTCTATATTTTCCTCATTATGTGCTTGTTTTGTAATATCTGGAGGAAAATGTTAACTACCTGTGCTTTAATTTTGAAAGATAAAACCGGAAAACCTTCTCCTCTTTATTCTAGGGATCTGCCGGGCTGTTAGTAGTGAACGGGACTCGGGCACAATGCACCGATTTCTGCTCGTGTTTGTGGCCGCTGCTGGGGCCTCTGTCTTCGTCCTCCCGCGGATGGATGCGTCCCCGGCGGTCGGGCCCTGCGTCGCCCCGCTGCAGTGGGAGGGAAGGTGGGTTGTGTACGACCACAGCACCGGCAGGAACAGCCGAGCCGCCGTCTCGTACGACGCCCTGAACCAGAGGATCCGAGTCCTGCAGCAGCACAAGAAGCACACCCCGTGTCAGAGGTAAGACCAGTAAATAAACACAAAGTAAACATGTTGTTTACAGACTGCGTTTTATTACTGCACACAGTCAGTGTGAAGAGTTACAACAAAACAAGCTGCAGCTGTAAATCTGCGCTTAATAATCTCCAAATCATCTATATAAGCATCACTCCATTTATCATTAATAATCATTAATAAAGCTGATTTATAATGGATTTGGTCCCAGCTTTAAGCTCTTCTTTTCTGTAAGATCGGCTTTGTTTTATAGTTTATATGTATTTTTATTCACAAAACCAACCCATAATTTACACCCATAGTTATTTATACTGCAAACACTACAAAAAGTAATAATAGTAGTAGTAATAATGATTATAAAGGTCATATTCGATTAATGGATAAATTATTTTCCCATGCGTTACACATCAGTGCTAAAGATCAGATTAAAAAACACATCAGAGACTGACTCATAACTGTACTATTAAGCTATAAAACAATGTTTTGTTTAGTTTTTTGCATTTTTGTGTTCTAAAAAGGGTCATAAACAGTCTGTTTGAACACTTCTCAGCCTGGACTAAAGTCTGGAGTTGTGAAATGTTCCCTGGCTGGTAAACGAGGCCACAGAGCGACTTTGGAGTGTTTGGTTTGGGCACAGAGGACTATCCTGCCAAAAGTAACCATCTTCAGACTTTAGAAGACAGAGACACTATCAAACTCTTGGACAGTTTTCTTGCTGCCGAAATAGATGCCCTATAGTTTCTGTGCATAAGAAATGGAAGTAGGAGCCACGATGTTGCCCACTGGTTTTGGATTCTGCGATTTGAATGTTGAATGTTTTATGTTTTGGCCACTGCTCAGGTGGTTTGCTTCAACTGGATGTGACCATGTTTGGATGAGAGCATGCAGTGTTATCACACAGATCCAGCAAGTAACAGACTAATAAAATATTAGACTTTACCAAAACTGAAGCACAAACTTCTTAAACACCAGGATATACGATTTGTTAGATAATTTATTAAAAATGCTCCAAAAGGCACCAACAGGACAAACACAGTGGAGCGCTCCGGTTCTTTCACTGGATTTACTGGAGCTGAGGCCAAACATAGAAATGATTAAAACACATTCCAGTTAAATCAGCCTCTGTAGAGTTCTCATCAAGGGGAAAACTATCCATAGACACCAAAAATGGGTTTGTAGCAGGCTGTAAACATGATTAGTTCTACTGTAAAATCGGTCATTTGAACCTGGGAGTCTGTGCAGAATGACTCAGCTGTGGAGCCGGACTCTAGTGGACATTAGGGGAACTACAATTTCTGATATCTTGAGATTGGCTTTTAGCTCCGTAGGTTGATGCTTGGTGGTGAGACTTTTTTTCACAGTTCAAAATTGTGAGTCAAGCAATATCTATTTTATCTTTTATTTTCACTGTTTGTGTTTATACACCGCTCTCTGTGTCTTTTGTCCTCTGCACAGTCCCATCCAAAAACTTCTTTAACCTCTTTGTTTCAGGTTTTTTGAGTACATCTACTTGTATCAGAGCATGGTGATGTTCCAGATTGACCAGAAGACGAAGGAATGCTCAAAGATCGCTCTGTCTGAAGCCTGGGATCCCTTCGACGTCCCTGATAACTCCACCTTTGAGGATCAATACTTCATCGGCGGCCCTGGGGACAGCATTGAGGTTCAGGAGTGGTCAGATAGGAAGCCGGCACGCAAACGTAAGTCTGAGATTTTTATGCTTTCAAACAGGCCATAGTGAGTGCTGAAGAGTTAGGTCAGTGTTAGCGTAAATTCAGCATGTCCTGCAGCTGCTTTATAATAACAATAAGCCTTTTCACTGTGGTTTTATTGAATTATGAGAGTGGCTGTAGCTTCTAAATGACTTCTTTTCCACGAAAAAGAGTAATTCTACATTTTACATGCATCCTTTCGTGAACTACCCCACACTAATATACAGTACTGTGCAGTACTGTTCCTTTATATTTATCTAGGAAAATGTAATAAACAGTATATAGGTGTATAAGGGGCGACCGTGGCTCAGGGGGTTGGGA